CCGCGCTCATGTTCCCTCTTGTTGCTCCTCCCCCTCCTCCTTTTATATATCCCTCACGCTCTCACTGGTTATCCTCCTCATCCATTCCCCTCCATAAACCTACTCCTTCTCCCCCTCCTTCTCGGCAGCCTCTTCTTCCTACTCCTCCGACTCTTCCTCCTTCTCCTTCTCCAAATTCTTCTGCTCCACCGATGATTCCCTCTTCTCTCCTCGTCTTCATCGCCCTCCTGCTCCTGCAACTCCGCCGCCTCGGCAACCACCTCCTTCTCCTCCTCCTCCTCCGCCGTCTCACCTTCCTCCTCCTCCTCCTCCTCCTCCTCCTCCTCCTCCTCGATCCCCTCCGTTTCCTCCCCCTCCTCACCCTCATCATCAGCCTTCTCCTCTCTGCCGGTCTCCCTCCCATTCCCTCTCTATCACTGGCCTCCCCATCCGACTCGATCCGACCCCTCGGGAGCACAGGGGGTTCGCACCACGTGCGTCAGAGTGTTTCCCAGCGTCGAGCCCCAACAGCACGCTGTGGCACTGTGGATGTGCAGGCTGCGTGCTGGACGAGCGCCTCCGCGGCCGCTCTGCCCACGAGCAAACGCGCCCCTTCGGGACAGGCCGGCAACGGGCCGGCTCGCGGCGAATCCCTGGGACACCCCCGCTGGCAACGGCGGGCGGCCACGGGGCGGCAAGGCAACAAGCCGGCACGCGGCGCGTCCTCGGGGCACCCAGCCGATGCCGCAGAAGCGCAGGCAAGGAGCCACTCTGTGCAAGCACTGCAATTGGGCAGAAGAACAGAAAGACGCTACGGACGTAATCGTTTGGCGCTCCGCGCGGATTTCTTGCGCTGGCACCCCCTCCCTGGCGCGCGGAGCTCGCCAGGGGCGGCGCCGGAGGCGCCGTCGGGGGGTGCCAGCGCGGAGCCAAGATATCCGCGCGGAACGCCATCAGTTTATGCTTATAGCTTTTTTCTTTTTCGAGTGGGGGAAAAAGCGCCGCCACCAAAGTGCGCGTGCTGACGGGGGAGCCGCAGCCGCACCGTCGGCTCCATTCTTCTGAAAATGGCCGGGGACGGAGTTTTCTACTATTTTTCACGGTTTTGGATGATGATGTGAGTAAGCTTCATTTTTCTTCCAAAGTCCGCCTGTAGGAGGACATGCCCGACCTGACTGTAGCGTCTGGTTGGCAGAAAAAGAGCGCCACAAGGTGCAAGAGCAACCGGCCCAGGCGCCGTGGCCAACACAGCAGACCAAGGTGAGCGCAGCTTCAGAGCAGGGACCGACTGCCCCGGCAGTCCAGCGACCCTACACCATGCACACCTCCCAGAACCAGCAGAGGGCGTCCCAGCCAGAAGTGTTCCGAGAACGTTTCGTGTGAAACACAGCAAGTCTTCCAAACGTTCTTGGCTGGGCCGATGGACAGGCCAGGACGCTTCGCCACTGCTCGCAGCTCAGGATCTCTCCTCTCCACCCACCTCATCATGCGTTGTGCGGTCCAGCAGCGCGCACAGCCGGAGGGGGGGGGACAGAGGCGGCCTGCTGGGAAGGCGCCCCCCCTACCCAGACACCCGACGTCGCGTTTGTTTTCACAACGTCGACCCCCAGAGCTCTGGACCCCTTCCCCGGGACCGGCTTTTCGCCCGAAGCCGTTTCTGACGGCCCCCGAGGCCCGGTGAGGGCTCCCGGAGGCCGAAAATATAGACTAACCTTCCGTCCTGATTTTTCTCGCTTCTGCCTCATCCTCCCCTTTCCCTCCCTCTCTCCTCGAGGCGGGACAAGGGAGGGGTGGCCGGGCAGGACAGGTAGGGCGCCTGTTGCCCGAATCACAGCGCCAGGGGGGTCTGGCTGGGGAGGGGGCGCGCCCCCCCCCGCACGTTCTCAAAGGCGCCCCCTCCCAAGCCTCGCTCCAAGAGGCCGAAAATATAGACTAAGCTTCCGTCCTGATTTGTCCACAGCGCCAGGGGGTCTGGCTGGGTAGGGGGCGCCCCCACCGGCACGTTCTCCGAGGCGCCCCCTCGCAAGCCTCCCAGGGCGCGGCGCGAAGACCCGCCCTGGGGGCCGGGCGCTGCAAGAGAAGGGCACCGTCGCGAACAACTGCTCGCCTCCTCCTCCTCCTCCTCCTCCTCTTCCTCCTCCTCTTCCTCCTCCTCCTCTGCCTCCTCCATTCTCCTCCTCCTCCTCCTTTTCCTCTTCTTCCTCCTCCTCCTCCTCCTCCTCCGCCCCTCCTCCTCCTCCTCCTCCTCCTCTCCCTCCTCCTCCCCTCCTCCTCCATCCTCCTCCTCCTCCTCCTCCTCCTCCTCCTCCTCCTTCCTCCTCCTCCTCCTCCTCCTCCGCCTCCTCCTCCTCCTCCTCCTCCTCCTCCTCCTCCTCCCCCCTCCTCCTCCTCCCATCCCTTTCCCTCTGCCGGTGGCGCAGCCTGCCCCTGCTCGCTCGGCGTTCGGCCCGCCCCGCACGCCCGCGCACCAAAAAAAAAGAACACCTGCACGGCGACCCGAGCCCTGGACGCGACCTCTCTCCTGCCCTTTCCTCCGGCCGGCTCGATCTGTCATGGCCCCGTGGCAGGAAACATGGCGAAAGTGCCTGGCGTGAACAGCTCGTTGCCCAGACCCCCTCGCGCTGCGAACTTCGCCTGGCGAAGATCCTAACCATGTGCAGGTGTGAACGCCGCAGTTCTAGGTATCGTCTTCGGTGGAGCCCCCTTCTCGGGCCACGAAACGCTGTACCGGGCGGGGGGGCGCATGCGGACTGCGCCACTGGGACCCTCAGTGGAGCTCCCTGTAGGCCACGGAACGCTGTATTGTGTGAGGGGTATGCCTAAATACGTGCGGCGGCGTCATGCGAGCCCTGCCACTGGGGCCTTCGGAGGAGCTCCCTATGGGGCCACGACGCGTGTGAGGGGTGTGCCGACATGACTGCGGTGGCGCCATGCGAACCCAACCACTAGGGCCGTCGGCGGAACTCCCTATTGGGCTATAAAACGTGTGAGGGGTGTGCCGACATGTATGCTGTGGCGCCATGTGAACCCTGCCATTGGTGCTTTCGGCGGAGCTCCCCTATGGTGCCACATAATGTGTCAAGGGTGTGCTGAAATGGACGCGGTGGCACCTTTCGAACTCTACCATTGTGGGGCCTTCGGCGGAGCTCCCTATGAGGCCACGAAGCGCGTGGGGTGTGTGCCGACATGAGTGCGGCGGCGCCATGCGAGCCTTGCCACTAAGGCTTTCCTCCCTATGGGGCCACGAAACGTGCGAGGGGTGTGCCGACATGACTGCGGTGGCGCCATGCGAACCGTGCTACTGGGGCCTTCGGCGGAGCTCATGATGGGGCCACGAAGCGTGTGAGAAGTGTGCCGGCATGACTGCGGTGGCACCATGCGAGCCCTGCCACTGGGGCCTTCGGTGGAATTCCGTATGGGGACACGGGGCGTGTGATGCATGCGCCGACATGACTACGGTGGCGCCATGCGAAACCCGCAGCTGGGGCCTTCGGTTGGGCTCCCTATGGAACCACGAAGCGTGTGACAGGTGTGCCGAAATCGGTGCGGTGGCGCCATGCGAACCCTGCCGTTGTGGCCTTCGGTGGAACTCTCTATGGGGCATCGAAGCGTGTGAGAGGTGTGCCGAATTGGGCGCGGTGGCGCCTTGCGAACTCTGCCATTGTGGGGCCTTCGGCGGAGCTCCCTGTGAGGCCACGAAACCAGTGAGGGTGTGCCGACATGAGCGCGGCGGCGCCATGCGAGCCCTGTCACTAGGCCTTCGGGCCTTCGGTGGAGTTCCCTATGGGTCCACGAAAAGTGTGAGAGGTATGCCTGGGCGCGGTGGCGCTATGCGAACCCAAACACTAAGGATTTCGGTGGAGCTCCCTATGGGGTCACGAAGCTTGTGAAGGGCGTGCCGAAATGTGCGCGGTAGCGCCATGCGAACCCTGTCGCAATGGCCGTCGGTGGAGCTCCATATGGGGTCACGAAGCGTGTGAGGGGTGTGCCAAAATGGGTGCGGTGGCGCCATGCGAAAACTGCCACTGTGGCTTTCGGTGGAGCTCCCTATGGGGCCACGAAGCGTGTGAGGGGTGTTCCGAAATGAGCGGGGTGGCGCCATGCGAACCCTGCCACTTGTGCCTTCGGTTGAGCTCCTTATTGGGCCACGGAGCGCTGTACTGGGTGCGCCGGAAGAGAGACATGCGGAACGCAGAAGCAAAGAGGGGGAGGAGGGAGGAGGGGAAGGAGGAGGGAGGAGGGGAAGGAGGGGAAGGAGGGGAAGGAGGGAACGTGGGGCGCTGTCTCGTCAAAACGAGGACCCACGTGGGGGCCCTTCCCGGGCCTCGGGACCCTCAAACAACGACTTCGGACGAAAAGCCGGTCCTGGGGAAGGGGTTCAGACCTCTGGGGGTCGACGTTGTGAAACAGATCACGACGTCGGGGATCTGGGTACGATGCAGCGCGGCAGAGGCAGTCCGTACGCGCGCGCGGGCAGGCCGGGAGACGGCATCGCTCATGGCCCGGCAGCGCAGACGGGAAGAGGGGGAAGGAGGGAGCGGCCGCAAGCGGCGTGGAAAGCCTGCAGCGCCCGGATCTTCCGGCTCCGAGGAGACCGACGAACGAGCAACACACACCCATATACATATAGGGGGGCCGTTGGGAGGAGGACTGGCTGTGGGTATGGGTGCGGGTTGTCGGACCCTGGGGAACGCTCCCGTTCGAGAAGGGACCCCCGTTCGACAACACGCGCCGACAGCCCTCTCCGACCCCCCTATGGGTATGGGTGTTTGTTGTCGGTTCGTCAAAGACTAAAACAGGGCTAGGATCGGGATAAATCGCTCCAGAGCGTTCCGGAGCGCTCTCAGAGCGTTCCGGAACGCTCTGAAGCGGCCGCGGCGCCCAATACATCCTCCAAACCCGCCGATTCTCAGAGATTTCGAGTTATCCCGATCCGATTTTGTCCCGATCTTCGCGTCGTTTTAAAGACCCCTGGCCCCTGCCCTGCCCTCTTGGTAGGCCGGCCGCGCCGGGTCGGCGACCAGTCTGGGGTCCAGCCCGACGAGGTCGAGCTCGGCGGACTTGGCCCTCGCAGCCGGCCCGGGCCGGGCGGGCGCGGCAGACCTGGCGGGGGCTCAGATGTGAGAGGGCGCCAGCTGAGACCATACGCAGATCCTGGGCCCAAGCTCAGTGCAGTGGCGAGAACGAGAGTTCTGTTGCCCCCATCCTGCTATATTAGGGACCACGTCCCAAGAAATAATGCCGAGCACCCCAGACAATACCGAAACAATATCTAATGAGACTCGCCTCTTAGGGTTCGACGCGTGAAAACCCTCGAGCCTTTCGCTGCTTCCTCGGCGCCCGAAGCTCTCTCTGTGATCAAGGCTTCGGCTGACGCGAGAGGCAGAAAGAAACACGAGGGAGTCGGAGCTGCGCGCGGCCTGCTCGCCTCGGCGCCGGAGACCCCCCCCCGCCCTGGGCGCGCGGGGCGCGCAGGGGGCGGGGGCGGCACGGGCAAGCGCGCAAGGGGGGGGGGGCGACGCCACGGGGGTCAGGTCGCGGTGTCCCGGGCCCAGCAGTCTTGAAGATGTTTTGGTATGGGGGCCAGATGCGAGCCCTGCCCCTACCCCCCTACGATTTCTGATGGGGGAGGGTGGGGTTCACTTCGTTCGTGAGCTCCCGAGCGAAGTGAACCCCACCCTCCCCCTCAGAAATCGTAGGGGGTAGGGGTAGGGTTCGCATCTGGCCCCCTATTTGGGTGACATGGGCCAGACTTGCGGATGGCATCACAATGGACACTCTAACAACCCTGTCATTGAATTAAAGACGTGTTTAAAATGTGTAAGACGTGTCCCAAACATGTGCCAAACATGTATTTTTACACATGTAAAACATGGTTGACACATATTTTAGGCATCTGGTAATTACTTGGCAGCATGCTTCCTCTCCATTAGTGGACTTCCACAAGGCCAGACCACCTTTCGCGTGGCGTCGGGAAGCTAACCAATGTGAGGATATGTCAAGCAAAACGGGCCAAACCACGTCACATGTGGTCGTCTCGGGACGCAGACATGCGAGGATTTCTCATACGGAACGGGCCGAAGCACCTCAGCATGCTGTCGATGTTTCGACACGCGGGCCCCTCAAGCGGCATCCGTTCTCACCGGCAAGACGAAACCGATTGAACGGGAACAAGCGAGAAGTTCCCACCTGTCCGCCAGCCACACATGGCCCAGACATATAGAAACTGTCGTAAATATGGCGATTCCGTCTCTACCTAAGAGATGCGTGCGAGCAACATTTGCTGAGCTGCTCGACAAAGTTCGTTTGCCCCCCCTATTCCACATAACTCGGCGGACGCTTTCCCATCGCATGAGATTAACCCTTCCAGGTATGTAATATCCCGGACAGGGTCTTAATATCGCGACCACTTGGCGTCGTAAGCCTGGTCTTCGTTGGTATCAGCATTGGCTTGTTGTTCCCCACATTGGGTTTAAAACCGTATTTGCATCCTTCTTCAGCAATTGCATTCCATATGTTCTGGAGGTTTGGTTGGTGTTGAGATACAAGCAATGTGGCGTCGGCGTAGAGGACACTTCGGGTCACCACGTATCCCAGTCCTCCGTCTAGACGTAGCGAGTCGATCGCATGGTACAGCATAATGTGTAGGTAGCGGCGTACCCCAAATCAAAATGTCACCAATCGTCGAATTCGGAGCCAGAATACAAAGTCAGAAGTTCCTGACCATTGTTTTATGCATCCAGCGCGGCAAAGCACCAACTCGATACTACAAGTTATCTCGAAACCCATTGCGCGCCGAGACAAATCGGACGCGCGACAACGCACGCTGCGAATTACATTCAACCGTCAAATTGGCTCTCGACAGCCTGCTTGAATGGCACGTGGAGGAATATGCACTGGTGAAAGACGTAAGCGTCGCAACACGAGATCAAAATTGCGTTTTGCTTGAAACTGCGAGTGCAGGCTCCGCACACTAGCACGACCGCACCAGCCAGCCTTCTTCTCAAAGCTCCATGATGGAAGGTTCACACGAAACCCACGTTTGGAACACCTCGCGAGGCAGAGACGCTGATATTCCACGACACATGGTCCATGTCGAACATATGGGGGGGACCCATGACACCGATTGTGCCTAGCAACTCCTGTTGGGCAGCATGGCGCGTGTCTCGGAAACCTGCAACAACAGGCACGATTCTTCTCCCCCCAGGGCCAAGCGAGGAATCCAACAGAGGCCGAAAACTACGAAAACTTCCGCCTTGAGTTCCTCGTGTCTTTGGATGCCTGCGGGGAGCAAAAGGGTACCGATATTGCTGCAGTGGGAGCTCGACCACACGAAATCTTCCACAAGAAACCCAATACTGATACCCCAGGACGTCCACTGCTCCATGGTGTGGGAACGACACGCCTTCCACAGCAAAACCGTCGAAGCCCAAGAAACCCAGGGCACCCTGGAGGCAAGCAAGGTGTTTCTTGGCATGGGTTGCCACTGTACCGATACTGCTACACCCCAGACCTCTCCTGGGGTGCGTTCTGGCAAGAATCCTGATGCGAGTCCAGCCGTGGTGACGGGGACCCTCCAGGACGAGCAGCGGCATCGGCACCTTTTCTAACAGCCTCCCGTATGGTTTCCGAGCAGATGGGGTCGGAGGAACGCGCCGCATCGGCCCGATGCATCTTCGATGTGTCGACGATGCATCGGCGACGCCGGCGTGGAGAAACGCGTGCTCCACATCGAGCCGCATCGCGGATGCATCGGCGATGGGGCGCGTTCCTGCGACCCCATCTGCTCGGACCCCTTCTGGGAGACATCGATTTTCCTGGGGTGCGTCCTGGTTAGAGCTTCGACGAGAATCCGTCCGCGATGGCGAAGACCCTCTGGGACGAGCAGCGGTATCAGTCCCGCTGGTTCGTGTCGTGTCGACCCCGGCGTTGGAGGAGGAGGAGAGGAGGAGGAGGAAGAGGAGGAGGAGGAGAAGGAGGAGAAGAGGAGGAGGAGGAGGAGAGGAGGAGGAGGGAGAGGAGGAGGAGGATAGGAGGAGAGGAGAGGAGGAGGAGGTGGGGGAGGAGGAGGAGGGAGGAGAGGAGGAGGAGGAGAGGAGGGGAGGAGGTGGAGGAGGGAGAGGAGGAGGAGGTGGGGAAGAGAAGGAAGAGGAGGAGGAGGAGGAGGAGGAGGAGGAGGAGGAGGAGGCTGAGGAGAAGGAGAGAAAAGAGGAGGAGGAGGAGGAGGAGGAGGAGGTTCCTGACACCACGTGGATCGTTCAACTCATGGGGATGGGGCTCCAAGGCACTCGGGCGACCTCGCCAGCTTGGGTGGGAGGGCGCGCGCGAGGCTGAGCACAGCGCCACGCGAGGAGAGCAGGAGGAGGACGACGAGGAGGAGGGGGAGGAGTAGGAGAAGGAGAGCAGCAGGCGGAGGACTTGGATCGTTCAACGCTGAACGATCGGCGGCTCTTCGATCGCCAGATCGTTCCATGCTGGACGCGTCTGGGCCTGGCCCCGGCCAGTCCATATCCTGCAGGATCCTGCAGCATGCTGCACCGAAGCCCGGGTCCGTGCGACCCTGGGCCTGCAGGAACCTTTCAAGATCCGGCGCCCTGACTGACCCCCGCTTGCATCGACCCCCGGTGCCCTCGAGCCCCGGAGGCCCCGACCCGCTGCCTGGGGGTGGCTCCTCGTCCCGCATGCCTTTTGAAGGGCCCCCTGGACCCGATAACGGGCGCCGGAGGCCGAACTCGAGGAACGAAAAAGCGGAATCCAAAACTCGCACCCAAGGATCCGGTGTCGCGATTTTTCAATACGGGGTCCCCCGAAGTCTCGACCCATTCCCCGGGACCGGTTTTTCATCTTGAGTCATCTTTTGACGGTCCTGGGGCCTGGCGAGGACCCCTATAGAGGCCGAAAACTGCGAAAAGCCTCCGCCTCGATTTCAATACGTTGGACCTCTAGGTCTCCTCGGACCTCTGGGTCCGAGCCTGAGACAGAAGGAGAAAAAATGACACCACATAAACTGTTGGCGCTCCGCGCGGATGTCTGGGATCTGCGCTGGACCCCCCTCCCTGGCGCGCGGAGCGCGCTAGGGACGGCGCTGGAGGCGCCGCCGAGAGGGCCCAGCGCGCATCCAAGAAACCCGCGCGGAGCGCAAACAGTTTATGTTTTATGGCGTTTCTCGTTTCTCCTTCTTCGAGGGGACCCGCGGCGACGGCGGCGGCGATCAGCGCACCCGCGCGGTCTCGGAAGCCCATGCCGAAGCCTTCCGAGCGGGGCGCGGCCAACGAAAGTGGCCAAGGATGGACTTAGGAGGCAAGGACGCAAGGGTACCCCTGGGAAGGTTGCCCATCCTGACTATGCGGGTTGACTCTAGGTTGGATCTCTGAGTATCCCCGGACCTCTGGTCGGCGGTGAGCGCAGGGGGGGAAGCGAGAAGGAGAAGGCCTTCTCAAAGTCTCGGAAGTCCCCGGGCCTTTCAAGAAGCTTTCGAAAGCTTCTTAAAAGGCCCGGGGAAAGGCGTGGATCCAGGCCTTCCCCCGAGACAGAACAAACAAATCCTCAGAAGGCGCGGAGGCTTCTGAGAAGTCCCGCCGCCCTCTGAGAAGGCCTTCTCCTTCTCCTTCCGCCCCCGCTCAGCGCCGATTTTCCACGACCCAGACCCCCAACGTAACGATTTTGTTCACAACATCGGCCCCCCGAGGTCTGGCCCCCTGTCCCGGGACCGAGGAATCGGTCGAGACTCCTGGGGACCCCGCATCGAAAGAATCACGGCATCGGATCTTCGGGCGCCATTCTTTCTATCCCGCAATCGTCCCAGACCCCCCGACGTGGTGCTTCTTTCGCGACGTCGACCCCGAGAGGTCTGGAACCCCCCTCCCGTGAGCCCGCTTGCCGTCCCGAGCCCCTTCCCCACGGTCCCGGGGCCCGGCGAGGGCCCCCGGAAGGCCGAGAACAGCGAAACGCCTCCCGCCGTGAGTCTCTCACCATCTGGGCCTCCGCGATCCGGGTCCGAGCCTGGGAGTCTCCACGATCTGGGCCCGAGCCTATGTGACTACCTACCAGACCACCCCAACCCAACCCGAAGACCCGAATTTCGGGTTGGGGGGGGGGGGGGAAGGGCTCCACACGTGCCTTCTCGATGTTCCCCGACCACCCCCCCCCCACTGGAAATCAAGGGCTCCCAGCTTCGCGCTTCGCGCTGCGCGAAGCGCGAAGTGCGAATAACTTCGCGCTCTCGCGCCGCCTCCCAGGGGAGAAGAGGAGGATGAGGAGGAATCGGAGCCGAACCGCGAAGCGCGAAGCGCGAATAACTTCGCGCCCTCGAGGGCGCCCTTGGGAAATCGAGGGTAAATCTGAGCCTTCGGGTTGGGTTGGGGTCTGTGGGGGCCCGGAGCCCGTGGGGCCCGGAGCCCGTGGGGCCCGGGCGGCGGGCTCGGCGCGCGGCGGCCGCGCGCGGGCGCCTCGGCGGCCGAGCGGGCCGATTGGCCGCGCGGCGGCCGCGCGGGCGGCCCGTTTTCGGCGGCCGCGCGGGCGAGGAGGAGGAGGAGGAAGGAGGAGGAGGAGGAGGAGGAGGAGGAGGAGGAGGAGGAGGAGGAGGAGGGCCCGTTGGGGAAATCGAGGGTAAATCTGGGCCCGGAGCCCGTGGGGGCCCGCGGCGGCGGCGGCAACTTGGCGCGGCCCGCGCGGCCTGAGCGCGTCGTGCGGCAGCGGGGGCCGCCGCGCCTGCCGCCGGGCGAGCCCGGGGAGACCCGGAGCGACGAGTCGCACGGGCGAACGACGACGACGACGACGACGACGACGACGACGACGACGAAGGCGACGACGACGACGACGACGACGACGACGACGACGACGACGACGACGACGACGACGACGACGACGACGACGAAGGCGACGACGACGACGACGACGAAGGCGACGACGACGACGACGACGAAGGCGACGACGACGACGACGACGACAGCGACGACGACGACGAAGGCGACGACGACGACGACGACGACGAAGGCGACGACGACGACGACGACGACGAAGGCGACGACGACGACGACGACGACGACGACGACGACGGCGAAGGCGACGACGACGACGACGACGACGACGACGACGACGACGACGACGACGACGAAGGCGACGACGACGACGACGATGAATCGGATCGGCGGAGATCGGCAGGCTAGTATGGGCCTCCACCAAGAAATCGGAGCCCAGATCGGAAGCCCGAGCCGGCTCGAAGCGGAATCGGAGGCCGTCAGAATTGAATTGAATCGAGCTGGAGGAACCGACATCGAATCGAATCGCAATCGAAATCGCATCGAAACCGAATCGCACCGCACCGGATCGGAATCGGGATCGGCATCGGCATCGGAATCGGAATCGGAATCGAAATCGAATCGAAATCGAAATCGAATCGGAATCGACATCGGAATCGACGTCGGAATCGACATCGGCGGAGCCGCCGCGAGCCGCCGCGCGCCTGCCGCTCGCCCGGCTCGCCGGGCTCGCCGGGCCCGCCGGCGGCCCGCGCCGCGCCGGGGAGGCGCGCCGCCTCGCCGCGCTCGGGGCCCTCGGCGGCGGCGGGGGCGCCGCCTGCGGGGGGGCCCGCGTCCCGGGCGCGCGGGCGTCGCGGAGGAGCCCGGAGAGCCGAGAGCTCCTCGCGCGGGGAAAGAATCACTGAGGGGGCCCCAGGACACACACAAAGAAATACACACAAACAAAAAGATGCCCCATCTTTTTTCCCATCATTTCGGGGTTTTTGTCTTCCCGCCCACTTCCCATATTTTCCAAGATTTTCTGAGGAATCGAGGAGTACTTGTGTCTGTGTGTTCTTTCCCTCCTGAATCACGACGGAAGGTTTTTGGCAATTCTCGGCCCCACGGGGGGCCTCGCCTCGCCGGGCCTCGGGACCAGCGTACGGCCGCTGAGGCACGAGGCAGCCATCCAATCGGAGGCGCTGCAGCCACGAGCTCAGACTGCATACCTTCCTTTCAGGAAGCCCGACGGTGCTGCCCCATGTCTTCGGAGCACTGGGCAGTATGGCCGACTCCCACACTCGTGGTAGCGCCCATCAGTACAATCACGCACCGTGTGAATACATTGGCTCCCATGTCGTCGCAAAAAAAAGGGTCCTGGGGAAGGGGTCCAGACCTCTGGGGGTCGTCGTTGAACGTACTGGACAAATCGAATATCGAGGCGAAGGTTTTCGCAGTTTGCGGCCTCAAGGGGTGCCCAAGACCGTCAAAAAGCGGCGCAGGATGAAAAACGGGTCCCGGAGAAGGGGTCGAGACTCCTGGGGGCCCCGTATGGAACGAATCGGGACGTCGGATCTCTGGGCTCCAGACACGCTGGCATCGTGGAACATCGGCGCTGAACGGGGGCGGAAGGAGAGGGAGAAGGCCTTCTCAGAGGGCGGCGGGACTTCTCAGAAGCCCCCGCGCGCTCTGATAAACCTGTGTTGCGTCTGGGGGGAAGGCGATCATAAAACTTTCTTAAAAGCCGGGGGACCTCCGAGCCTTGTGAGAAGGCCTTCTCCTTCTCTTCAGTAGGGACCAACCGTCCCGGCATCCTATAGTCCTACCACGAAGCGTTCTTCGAACCCAAAAATGTTCTAAGAACACTTCCACCCCTCGCCACTGCTCGCCAGGACGCTTCGCCACTGCTTGATTCTCACTTCCTCCCCTCGCTCGCCGCCAAGAAAGATCACGGCGGGCGGTGCTTGGCGGCGTGCGGCCTCCCGGGGCCCTCGGCGGGTCTGGTGACCGCCCCCAAAAACGGCTTCGGGTGGAAAATCGGCCCTGGGTAAATTGGGTCAGGACTCCGGGGGGGGCCCGTGTTGAAAAAAACCGAGCACCGCATGCCTGGGGGGAGATAATACATAAATATATCTATATGTCTATATATATAGAGAGAGAGAGAGAGAGAGAGAGAGAACAACAACAACCACAACAACAACAACAACAACAACACCACCACCACCACCACCACCACCACCACCACCAACACCAACAACAACAACAACGACAACACCAACAACAGCAACAACAACAACAGCAACAACAACCACAGCAACCACAACAACAACAGCAACAGCAACAGCAACAACAACAACACCAACACCAACAACAACAACAACACCACCACCACCACCACCAACAACAACAACAACAACAACAACAACAACACAAACAAGCCAGGCGCTTGGACGGACATTCGGTAAAAAGGGTGCCGTGCATGCGTGCGTGCACTGGCGTGGCGGCGAGCAGGACAATCGCCTGCAACCCTCTGCCGGCTGCGCTGCTGTGGAACATCGGGGCGTCGGGCAGCAACGATCGTATACATCCCCTGCGGCTGCTGAACGCTGCTTGCTCAGCAGCCGGCCGCTGACGCAGACGGGGTCGGAGGATGGCGCCGCTCCTCGGATGCTTCGTCGATGCATCGGCGACGCCGGCGTGGAGAAGGGAGTGCTCCAAACCGAGCCGCATCGCCGACGTGCTGGCGCGGCCCTCCGAGCCCCTCTGCTCGGACCCTCTCGGGGAAGCCTGACCAGAGCTCGGCGCTTGGCCCGCCGAGCAGACGCGCTGCTCTCTGTCGGCCTCGGACGCGCCCGTCGCCGCCGAGACCCTCGCGGGCTCCCCGCAGCCGCGCCCCGTCGGGAACGCTCTATGGGGCCGTGCGTGGATATCGCCCCGAGCGGGCACGCCCGGAAGCCCGCGGCACGTGGCCCGGAAGGCGTGGCCTCCTCGCGCGGCCCCTCGCGCCGCGGAGAGGCCGCAGCGGCGGGGAAGGAAGGGGGGGCGATATGTCCGGCCTCGGGGTGCCTGCTTGCTGGGCCGGGGGGGCGCCAGTGTAAGATCGGGGTCGGTTCGGGGAGGGCGCCCTGGTGTTCTTCGTGCTTGCTGGGTGCGCTCGTGCATCGTGGGAGGGCCCCCTCCCTGGACACTCTGTGTGGTCCGGCCGACGGAGGGCGTCATGCGCTGGGAGGGAGCTCTTCTGGCCCAGATCCGACTGCATCTTTAAGAGCGAGCTCCAGCAACGAATGAGAGCGGCGGCAAGGCTGCAGGGAGCCCGAGACCATCGGCAACGATCAACGACCACAACGCACAACGATAACGATCAACGACAACGATAACGATGACAACGAGAACGACCACAGCGATCGTTACCGTCGTGACCGTTATCGTTGTCGATCGTTGTGATCGTTATCGCTGTTATCTTTGTCATTGCTCGTTGATCGTTATCGCTATCGTTGTCGCCGGCGGGCCACGCAGGGAGCAACAGAGCGGGCGGCCTCGGATGTCCCAGGCCGGGCGGGGCGAGCAGGGGGCGGGAGGCAGCTCTGCGCGCCCGCGAACCCGCCCCCCCAGCCCGCCTCGAGCTGATCCCTATCCCGAGGACTGCCAGGCCCAAAGGCCATGACAATCTCAGGGATGCGCCCTCCAGAAACAAAAACTGCTGTAGTCCTTGAGATCGGCATCGGGATAGGGTGATGTCAGTCAGAATGAAATGGGAGATCTGTTTCAGACTGGTAGGTAACCTCTCTGGACCCCTGCGTCACGTTTTATTCGTGAAGGGGGCCCCAACAGGTCGGGACCCCGTCCCAGGAAACAACTGTCCATCCCGAGTCGTTGTCTGATGGGCCCGGGGCCGGGCAAGGGCGTCCAGCGGCCGAAACGTGGCAGAAACCTCACGTGCTGATTTCGTCTTCACGACGCGAGGGGGTCAGGGCTTCCCTCCGTCCCAGGAGGCTGTTGGGCGGTCCGAGCCCAGACTGCGCTTTGCCGCGCAGATGTCTCACACGTTCTAGACAAGTCTTCCATACGTGTTCAGCTGTCCCACAAGCGCCGATCAATTCCGGCGAGGCGCTCCCTCCCGTTTTGGCACTCCTTTTTTCTGACCGTTTTTGCCCTGCGCGCGAATGATGTGTGTGTGTGTGTGTTTCCCCGTTTTGGGATGCCACATTGTTTCCGTGTTGGTCGGCCGCAATCCGGAAAGTAGTTAATGACAGCTCAGCCCAAGACTCAAGGCGGAGGCTCGTTGTACTACGGTGAGGAAATTTCGCTCAGCGTGTCGCGGAGGCGGCCCTGCGGCACCCTATGCCTGGGATCCTGGTGGCGTGCCGCTCTACGTCGTGGGACGGACAGCTGGTTAAATATCAGAACGCTGATGCTTGGGAGATGAGGCGTGCCTAGCGTGCCGCGCCGAAGCGTGGAGCGCAAGAACTGGCGACGGGACACGCCAAGCACGCGTTCCTGACTGTATCCTCCGGTCGAGCCCGGCCGAAAAAAGCCAATTGCCTGGTTCCTCCCCGCTCTGATGGTGCGTGAGGGTGCCGTCGTCGTCGCTACGGAGGGGGAAGAGGAGGAGGAGAAGGAGAAGGAGGAGGAGGAGGAGGAGGAGGAGGAGGAGGAGGGAGGTTAATGTCAGTGCCAAGGCGCTCGCGGCGTGCTGCGAACACTGCGCGGCTTCCTTGCTGATGAAATATATGTGATGTGGGCACAGAGGTACGCAGCACGATGCGGAGGCAGTCTGTGGAATGAGGAAGATTCGAAGATTACCAGAAGGACCCAAATAGCGAACGGCACGACAATTTCTTGACATGGGACTGGCTTCTCATCCTGATTCCTTCGCTGACGGTCCCGAGGCCATGAAGTGCCCCCGGAGGCCGCACTTTGCCCAGCAACTTCTCTCGAGTTCTGGTCATTGCGGCTCGAGGATATCAGGTGACGAGAAGGAAGATCTGCTGTACGCAAGAGTGACCCTGGGTAACCTTTGGTGCGCGACTTTTTGGGGGCCGCGGGGGGACCAAACCTGGGCGCGCAAGCAGCTGCTGCTGCTTCGTTTTGAACCATCTGGGGACCAATCCGTGCCCGCACCAAAGGTCACTCCGGCGAAAGGTCACTCTTACGTCTAGTCGAGAGGCGGCAGGGGAGAAGAAGCAGCACGGCCTGCCTGTGCCAGATCGCCCCGAGAGGCGCTGCCCGGGCCGGCCGCCGCTGCTGCCGCAGCCGCCGTCCGGCGCGCCTGCGGCTGAGAGTTGGGCGCCAGCCCGCTGGCGCTCCCCCGCACGGGAGCACGCCTCCCTTCCACCCTCCCGCCCTCCCCCCACACCTTGTCAACCTCATGCTGATCATTCTTGGAGGGCCAGGGGTGGCCTCCTCGGCGCATCACTCGCCTCAACGATCGGCGGCGAGCGAGGGAATCGCAGACACGCTGGCGTCGTGGAAACTCGGCGAAAGGCGGGATGGGGGAGAAGGAGAAGGTCTCTTCAGAAGGCGTTGGGGCTTCTCAGGAGCCCCCGCTCCTTCTGAGAAATGTTCGGCTTCTCTGGGAAAGGCCCAGAAAACCATTCCGAAGGCCAAGGGGCTTCCGAGCCTTCTGAGAAGACCCGCCCCGTCTCAGTTCCCCACGGGCTCGGCGCAGCTATGAGGTTTCATCTGGAGGAGCGCATGATGCAGCCAACGCGTACAGTAAGGACGCAAGATAAGGACGCGGGGGCCTTGGAGAGAAATGTCGACACCCTTCGAGCGGGGCGCGGCCAACGAAAGTGGCCAAGGATGGGCCGAAGGGGAAGGACGCAAGGGCAGCCTTGGAAAATCGCTCATTCGTACGCTGCGCGTTGACAGTAATTCAAGCCCCCGGAGCGCAGCGCAGCTGCAAGTCGTAGGCGACTGTCTTCAGAGTTGGGCTCTCGCTTGGCGGGGCCTTCGAACAAGGTGCCTGCATGGTACAATTTAGACCCCCTGTTTTAAGAAGGCCCCGAAGGCCCCCATCCGCATGGCACGTCCATGGGCCGCTCGTCGTTATCGAAGGTGGCTCCGCCGTAGCGGATAGGAATGCCTTCTGAAGTGGGCGTATCAGGAGGGACTTGGGAAGGAAGCATGTGGCATGTGCTGCAACACCACTCACATTACCTAGGTGAATCTTCCCCCGCACCTCATGCTCATTAGCATCCCCTTCTGGGTCTGCTGCATTTGATTCCTCCTCCTTCCCCTCGTTGTTGTCTTCCTCTTCCTCGTTCTCCTCGTCTTCCCCACCCTCCTCGTGAGAATCCTCCCACGCACTCTAGTCCGCCTTCTAGTGCGTCTCCCAAGATCAACTCCACACTTCCATCAATATTAACATCGGTATCCTTCCCCCTCGTTCTCCCTCCGACTTGTGCATCGCTCCTAGTACCCATCTTGCTCGTCATCTGTTTTTATCCTTTCGTACACTTGCATCATCCTCCTCCCCTTCCTCCCCATGACCTCGATGCTGATACCATCCTGTTCTTCTCTTCTTTAACTTCAGTGATAGCCTCCAGTGTTCTGCGTGTGTCCCCTGTCTCTGCTCTTCTTCCCTCTCAATCTCAACTTCTCTAACTCCTCGTTCTCCTCCTGCTTCTTGGCTTCACCATGATCCTTGTCTTCCGCCCGTGCACCCATTCCTCGTCCCCCGCGTCTCCCCCTATCCTCCTCCTCCTGCTCCTTCTCCCAGTCCCCTCATCCTCCGAGTCGTCATCTCCACCAGATCCTCCTCGTAGTTCTCCCACTCGTCCTTTCTCTTCTCGTCTCTTCTCTTCTTGTCCCCCTTCTCCTGCAGATCCTCATTCTCCGTATGCTCAGTATCAGTGTTCGTACGTCTCGTACTCGTGCATTTCTTCTTCTCGTGGCCGTGGTCCTTCTTCTCCTCCGCGTTCCCCCCCCCACTCTCATTCTCTTCCGGCCGTCCACTCCCTCCCCTCCTCCACCACCACCAGTAGCATCATCATCATCACCACCATCATCATCAGCAGCAGCATCATAAATATCATCATCATCAGCAGCAGCAGCATCATCATCATCACCATCATCAGCATCACAAGTATCATCACCACCATCATCTTCAGCTGTATCATCATCAGCATCATCACCATCACCAGCATCAACATCATCATCATCATCATCATCATCGTCGTCGGCGTCATCAGTATGTCATCATCGTCGTCATCAATATCGTCGTCGGCGTCATCACCACCATCATCATCAGCATCAACATCATCGCCATGCGCATCAACATCTCAATCATCAACATCAACGTCAGCGTCGTCATCATCATCAGCAACATCTTCGCCATCATCACCACCACCATCATCATCATCACACATAGAATCGTCAACCTCATTATCATCCTCCTCATGATCACCATCATCAATATCGTCATCAATACCATTGTCATCTTCACCCTCGCTGCCGTCGTAACCTCCTCCTCCACCTCCTCCTTCTCCTCATCCTGCTTCTCCTCCTCCTCCTCCTCCTCCTCCTCCTCCTCCTCCTCCATCCTCCCCTTTCTCCTTTGTTCTTCCTCCTCCTCCTCCACCTCCTCCTCCTCCTATTCCTTCAGTCTCTCTCTCTGGTCCTCGTCCGCCCTCCTTTCCTCCTCCTCATCCCCCTCCTCCGTCTCTCGCCGCACCCCTTGCTCACTTACTCCTCCTCCCCCTCCTCCTCCTCCTCCTCTTCTTCCTTCTCCTCCTCCTCCTCCTCCTCCTCCTCCATTCTTTTTCCTTCGAAACAAGTTCTCCCTGTCGCACCCCGAGGCCAGTCTTTAGGGCGGGCCAGGCTTTTCGCATGAGACTTCCTCACAACTTCGCAGATGGACGGCTGGTCGTTTTCAACAGGTGGCTCTCGCCATAGCGCCGCGCACTTACGTTCAAACAAATTGCAAACGTTTTACGGGTTCGAGGCGGGTCGTTTTCAAAATGTGGCTCTCGCCATAGCGCGGCGAACATTCGTCTTGTCCAACATCGTTGATGACTCTTGGGCTTAAACTAGTCCTATTCCTCCTCCTCTTCCTCCTCCTCCGCGCACAGTCGTTTCAAACAGTTTGCAAGAGCTTCACGGATTAAAGGCGGGTCGTTTTCAAAATGTATTTATCGCCTTAGCGCCGCGCACATCCGTTCACACCAATTGGCAAAAGCTTCGCGGCTGGAGGGCGGGTTGGTTTCAATCACAATGTGGCTCTCGCCGTCGCGCCGCGCACATTCGTTCAAACAAATTGCAACAGTTTCACGGGTTCAATCCAAATGTGGCTCTCGCCTTCGCGCCGCGCGCATTCGTTCAAACAAATTGCAGCAGTTTCACGGATTCAGGGCGGGTCGTTTTCAAAATGTGGCTCTCGCCATAGCGCGGCGCACATTCGTTTGGAACAATTGCAAGAGATTCACGGATTGAGGGCGGGTCGTTTTCAGAATGTAGCTCCCGCTCTAGCGCGGCGAGCATTCGCCTTAAACAGTTGCAAGAGTTGCACGGATTGAGGGCGGGTCGTTTTCAAAATGTGGCTCTCGCCTTAGCGCCGCGAACATTCGCCCCAAACAAATTGCAACCGCTTCACGGATTGAAGGCGGGTCGTTTTCAAAATGTGGCTCTCGCCGTAGCGCGGCGCACATTCTTTTGAGACGTTTGCAAGCGTTTCACGGGTTCCCATCATCAACGTGCCAAACATGTCGTTGCGAAAGGATCCTGGACTCTGCAGGTGCAGCAGTTCTATTGGTTCGCCGTGCTAAAGCCTCAGGGATAACGTTTTTGGCGCGGTCCAGGATTGTCAGGACGCAACAGTCAGGTTGGTATGTGGCGTTGGTATCCCGAGATCAATGTGTTGGCATGCTTCGGGGCCTTCAAACGGTTGTCTTCCAAAGAGGCAGTTCCTTCAATTGATGTGAACTGTTGCAGGGGCCTTTGAAGAGGGAGCTTGGAGGAAGGGTTTTATCTAACATCGTTGACCTCCTTCTCATCCTCCTCCTCCTCCTCCTCCTCTTCCTCCCCCTCCTCCTCCTCCTCCTCCTCATCCTCCTCCCATTTCTCCGTCTCTCCCTGCAACTCGTCCTCCCCCTCTCCTCCTCTTCCTCTTCCTCCTGCTCCTCTTCCTCCTCCTCCTCCTCCTGCTCCTCCTCCGTCTCCTCCTCCTCCCTCCTCCTCCTCCTCCTCCTCCTCCTCCTCCTCCCCCCCCCTCTTCCTCCTTCTCCTCGTCCTCCGCCTCCTCGTCCTCTTCCTCCTACATTCCTTCTCCTAGTAAATAGCTGCTCCCTGTCGCACCCCGAAGCCAGTTTTTAGGGCGGGCTGGGCGTTTCGCCTGACTTCCTCACCGCTTATGAAGCTTGAACAATGACAACAGCTTCACGGATTGAGGGCGGGTCGTTTTCAGCATGTGGCTCTCGCCTCAGCGCCGCGCGCATCCGTGGCAACAAATTCCAAGAGTTTCACGACGTGTGGGCGGGTCATTTTCAAAATGTGGCTCTCGCCTGAATGCGGCGCACATTTTTAACATTTGCAAGAGTTTCACGGGTTCCCTTCATCAACGTGCCACACATGTCGTTTTGAAAGGACTCTGGACCCTGCACGTGCAACGGTTCTGTTGGTTCGCTGTGTTGAACTCCCAGGGATAGCGTTCTGGCACCATTCGGGATTGTCAAGAAACAAAACAGTCAGGTTGATCTGTGGCGTTGGAGTCCCGAGAACAATGTGTTGGCATGCTTCAGGGTCTTCAAACGATTGTCGTCCAAAGAGGCAGTTCCTCCAATGGGAAGGAACCGTTGCAGGGGGCTATGAAGAGGGAGCTTGGAGGGAGGGTTTAATCCAACATCGTTGATGACTCTTGGGTTTAACCTGGTCCTCTTCCTCCTCCTCCTCCTCTTCCTACTCTTTCGCGCACATTCGTTTCAAACAATTTGCAAGAGTTTCACGGATTAAAGGCGGGTCGTTTTTCAAAATGTGGCTTTCGCAATAGCGCTGGGCACATCCGTTTGAAAACAAGTTGCAAGAGCTTGACGGATTGAGGGCGGGTCGTTTTCGAACTGTGGGATTCGACTTAGCGCCGCGCACAGTCGTTTCAAAAAATGTAAGAGCTTCACAGATTGAGAGCGGTCGTTTTCAACATGTGGTTATCGCCTTAGCGCCGCGCACATTCATTCGGAAAAATGGCAAAAGCTTCACGGATTGAGGGCGGGTCGTTGTCACAAGATGGCTCTCGCCTTAGCGCCGCGAACATTTGTTTTAACCGTTAGCAAAACTTCACGGGTTGAAGGCGGGTCGTTTTCAATATGTGGCTCTCGCCTCAGCGCCGCGCGCATCCGTTTCAACATCTACGGATTGAAAGCGGGTCGTTTTCAATATGTGGCTCTCGCCTGAGTGCGGCGCACATTCATTTTAAACATTTGCAAGAGTTTCACGGGTTCCCAATATCAACGTGCTAAACATTGCGTTTTGAAAACGATTCCGGACTCTGCGGGCGCTACAGTTGTGTTGATTCGCTGCGCTTCCCTCCCAGGAATGGCGTTCTGGCACGATTCAGGGTTGTCAAGACGCAACAGTCAAGTTGACCTGTGGCGTCGGAATCCCGAGAACAATGTTTTGGCATGCTTCAGGGAAAACGGTTGTCTTCCAAAGAGGCAGTTCCTTCAATGAAAATGAACAGTTGTTGTAGGGGCCTATGAAGAGGGAGCTTGGAGGGAGAATTTAATCCAACATCGTTGATGACTCTTGTGTTTGCACTCGTCCTCTTCCTCCTCCTCTTCCTCTTTCTCCTCCTCCAACTCCTCCTCCGCCTCTTCCTCCTCATTATCATCATCATCCTCCTATTCCTCCGTCTCTCCCTGTCCTCTTCCTCCCCCTTTCCTCCTCTTCCTCCTCCTCCTCCTCCTCCTCCTCCTCCTCCTCCTCCTCCTCCTCCTCCTACCCCGCGCACAATCGCTTCAAAACATAAAAAAAACTTGATACATAAAGAAGAAGAATAAAATAAGGATACACATAAAGAAGACGGGATAAAGAAGACGCGCGATAAACACAAACGTTCGGCGCTCCGCGCGGACTCTCGGACCCGGGCGGCGACGGAGGCGCCCTCCCGGGGGGGCCCCGCCCCGGGAGGCCCGCCACGGCCTCGGCCGGCCCTCCTCCGATCATGAGAGAAAGCAGGCCCGCGGAGCGGCGCCCCGCTCCCGTGCCTCCTCGCGCTGTTTTTTTTTTTTTTTTTTTTTTTTTTTTTTTTTTTTTTTTTTTTTTTTTTTTTTTTTTTTTTTTTTTTTTTTAAAAAAAAAAAAAAAAAAAAAAAAAAAAAAAAAAAAAAAAAAAAAAAAACACGACGGGAGATTTTCATCATTCTCGGCCTCGGCCGGCCCTCCTCGCGCTGTCAAAAAAAACATCACGACGGGAGGTTTTCCTCATTCTCGGCCTCTGGGGGCCCTTCCAGGGCCTCGGGGCCGTCAAAGAGCGACTCGGGACGAAGAACGGATCCCGGGCAAGGGGTGCAGCCCTCTTGGGGTCGACGTTGCGAACAGATCACGACGTCGGGGGTCTGGGCTTTGAACAGAGGAAGAGCAGACGGCATGAACATTCTGTGGCAACTCGTAGGAGCCTCCTATACCACCATGTTTGCTTTTGCCGATCGACACTCATCGGCGCTAAATCGACGCTTACCGACGCCAGCCGAAGCTATTCGACGCTAAATCGGCGCTGTCTCATCGATTGCCAGGCGCTAAGCGACGCAAGTGCACGCTAAAGACAAATGTGCGAGGGTACACGAGGCTCCCATGATTTGCTGCCGAATGAACATAGACGACCGACAGTCCGCGTGGATCTGGTGGATACACCTCTTGTCATGATCTTTGTCCCGATCCGAGGGAGTTTGGGCATACTTCTGTAAAGGGGCCCAGGGACGCACAAATACATAGACCTGAATTCCAGGGCACCACACGCTTTCAAACACGTTCTGGACTTTCGTGCCTTCCCCTCCACTTCCCAGATTTCCCAGATTTCCTGGGGCTAGCCCCGATTCTTTGTGTCTGTGCTGTCTCCTCTCTGATTCCTCGATTCAGACCACGCCCCCTCCACTTCACACAGTTCCCAGATCCCCTGAGGAAAGACGATTCTTGTGCCTGTGCTGTTTCCTCTCTGACTCCTCGCTTGCAGCCGCGCCCCGCGTGCAGCCGCGCGCCCGAGCCCGCGCCGGGCTGCCGGAGGCGCGCCCGTGCCCTGCAGGGCACGCCCGCCCGCGCCCCGTCCAAGAACTCCCCGGCGCCCCGCGGCCGACCCCCGGCTCTTCGGGAGCGGCCAAGAAGGGGGGTGTCCGAGAGGGGGGGGTGCAGATCATGACCGGCGGCACGTGCGCGGCCCAGCGGGGGGGAACCAGGGACGTCATGAAGCAAGAAGAGGCGCCATGGAATCTGGGGAAATGTCATGGCCCCCGCCATGATATCCACCCCCCCCATACTCATCACCCCCCTCTTTGCCGACCCCGAGCTCTGGACCGCCCGGCGAAGCGCCGGGCCGGACGCGGATCGGCGGCGAGCCCAGGGGGGAGGTGAAAGAGAGAGAGAGACGGCCTCCTCTACCCAGACCTCCTCACGTTGTGGAACAAAAATGGCGGCGGGAGGTTCTGCTGCAGCTTGCCGGATGCCAGTTGCCTGTCATCATGACGTCCCAGGTGTTTCACGAGTATCTCGGTAAGAAATGCGGAGGGGACTTGCGCAGCAGATCAGATCACAATGTAAAGTATCGCATGGAGTGTGCATGGGGTAAGTTCCACTTGCACAAAACAGCTCTGTTGGATATAGTCATATCGTTGCGCATTCGCTTGAAACTTTTCGACGCGGTTGTTACGCCTACCGCGGTCTACGGTCTCTCGACGACAGCCACGACAGCAGGCCATCGGTCGCGGATTGCGTCGACGCGAGCAAAAATGCTGCGCAAGATGGTCGGTTTCAACAAGCATCCCAGCGAAAGTTGGGAGGAAGCGGGGCGACGTTGCAAGCAAAACGTGCGCGTCGCTTTAGGCATTTTTCCTGTGTCAGACTGGCTCGTTGTGATGGATCGCTCCCTGTGGCGCCTTGTGGCGCGTCTTGCCACTGGTGACCCGCAAACGTGGCCAGCGCAAATGTTACGATGGCGGGCGCCCGGAGTTCGACGCCGAGGCCGGGCGCGACGTAGATGGACAGATGCCGTCGATTCTTTCTTAAGACAAGAGCAAGGTACGAGCTTATCACATGTTGTAGGTCGCCAAGAGCCTTTCCCCTGGCAGCGGTTGGAGACTGCATGTTTGAATTACATGTGGTGGAACGCATCATGTAAGATAGAGTTCCGCATCGATATAAGAATCACCACTTCTCTCGCATGCGCGTTTTCTTGCCGTATTGTTTCACGCCCGTCTCCGCTTGCGGAGCGAGCGGCCTCCAGGCCCCGCGACCGGACTTGACTTGACTTGGCAGCCTCTGGGGGCCCTCGCTGGGCCTCGGGACCGTCACCAAACGACTCAGGACGAAAAGCCGGTCCCGGGGAAGGGGTCCAGACCTCTGGGGGTCGACGTTGTTTAAAAAATGACGGCGTCGGTGGTCTGGGTATGGTTGGCCCTAAAGGGGGGTCAAATTGAAAGGGGGTGGTGCAATAGACTTGGGGAAAGTGAAATTATTGCAAACATGTCTTCTGCCAGAGAATTGGATTGCATGGTAATGCAATGGATGCGTTGCAGGCGAAAATCTAGCAATACATTAGCGCCCTGGAATGCATTGCACGCCCCAAAGATCTTGCAACCCACAAATCTACTGCACCAGATCTATTGCACCACCGGCTTGTAGCTGGACCCCCTTTGGGGTCGACCAGATTCTCAGAAGGCGGCGGCGGGACTTCCCAGGAGCCCTCGCGTCCTCTGAGTGAGAGGTGTCCTGTCCACGGGGGAGCCTTCTTAGAACACTTCGTGCAGAAGGCCGCAAAGGACTCCCGAGCCGTCTGAGCAGGCCCGCCACTTCTCACTCCCCAACCGGGCTCGCCGCCGCTGATGTGGAGGGAGATTGGACGCCCGAGTTATCCTGGGTAACTCGGGTCCGGGGTAACTCGGGTTTGGGCCCCCGAAAAACCAACCCGAGTTAGCCTTGACCCGAGTTACCCCTGATGATTCGGGGCTCTGGACGCCCGAAATGTCCGGGATAACTCGGGTCCGGGATAACTCGGGTTCGGGCTCCCGAAAAACGAACCCGAAATAGCCCTGACCCGAGTTACCCCTGAGAATTCGGGGCTCTGAGGAGAGACAAACGGTAACCGTGCCTGCTGACCAAGACGGGGTGCGGCAACGCGTCGGTGTCGATCCTGGCCACCGCCAGCTCGTGGACTTTTGTCCGCGACGCGGCGGCGGCCCGCATGGGCCATGACCACGACCGGCGTCGACGAGCTCCCGCGGCAGCCTGCTCACGGTCATCGTGTCTCTTCCCTCGGTGGTACTCCCTGGCGTCCCCGCGCCGCGCAGAGGAATCACGACGGACGTGTTTGTTGCTTGATGGTGCCGTTGGTGTTGTTGTGTTGTTGTTGCCCTGTTGTTGCTGTCGCTGTTGCTGTTGCTGTTGCTGCTGTAGTTGTTGGTTTTGTTGGTTTTGTTGTTGTTGTTGTTGTTGTTGTTGTTGTTGTTGTTGTTGTTGTTGTTGTTGTTGTTGTTGTTGTTGTTGTTGTTGTTGTTGTGTTGTTGTGGCTGCCTCCATTTTCGGCCTCCGGGGTCCCTTTTACAGGCCCCGGGACCGTCCAAGAAGGAGTCGAATCACGACTCGGACTGCAAACGCTGGTCCCCGGGGAAGGGGCCCAGACCTCTGGGGAGCCGCGCTGCAAACAAGGTCGCGAGGTTGGATGTCTGGGCTGTCGCTGGGGCAGCCCCTGCCTCCGTGCGCCAGCCTTGCAGGGGAGGTCGGCCCCTACAGGACCTTGTCGATCTTCAGCTGGAACACCAGCGAGGCGCCCGGCCTGACGCTGCCGCTGGGGCTGCCCTTGTTCCCGTACGCCAGCCTCCGAAAGGGGCCGAAAGGCACAGCGGGTGGGGGCGCAGCGAATTATTCTGGGCTCCCCTCTTTACCCCGGGCCCTGGAAACCAGCAAGGTGGCTGGAGAGCCCAGCGCACTTTCCTGGCCTCTCCTGTGCGCCACGATACCACCTGGAGAAGTGAAGCGTACGTACAGTCTTCCCTCTGCGCCAATAAAGCTGGGACGGGCAGTGCAGCTGCAATAGTAAGGCTCGGGACTTCGCGCAGACAGCCCCAAAGTCTCGGCTGGCCTCACGAGGCCCCCTTATCGGGTCGGGCGAAAGAGGGGGATAGCAAAGGGGGGGGGTTGAGAATCAGCTCACGCAGCTGATTTCCCCGGCGCCTCCCGGCGCCGGAGGCGGCCATGTATCGAGGAGTGGGTCCCTCGGCGGGGCCGCAACTAGCTGCATGCAGCAGATTTCGTGACCCCCCCTTTCCCAATCGCCCCCTCTCTGACTACCTACCAGACCACCCCAACCCAACCCGAAGACCCGAATTTGACCCGAATTTCGGGTTGGGGGGGGTACGGGTTCCATGTGTTTTTTCAGCGTTCCCCGACCCCCCCCCACTGGAAATGGAGGGCAAATTGAAGCCTTCGGGTTGGGTTGGGGTGGTTTGGTAGGTGGTGACTTTCGTCCGGCCCGAGCCTCACGAGGCCCCCCTTAGCAGTCCAGGGCGGCCTCAGCACCTCAACGAGGAGGGACGGAGCGTCCAAGGGGCGCTGCAGGAGGCGGCACCTCGGCGCTGCAAACCCGAGGCCTCGTCCGGCTGCAGCCCCGTCCTTCGGTGTGTCCCCACGCGTCGCCTGGAGGGGACGTAGAGCTCCCACTTGTCCCCCTCCCGCATCAGCTGCATGGCCTCCGTCGGGGCGCGACCCAAGCGATGTGTTCCGTTCTCGTTTTGTCATCGTGCTCCCTCGTTTCGTATTCGTCCCGCCAGTGTCGGCTACGCGTAAGAGTGACCCTGGGTAGGAAGGGCCTTTGGTGCGCGGCTCAACGGGGGCCGCGGGGTGGCCAAACCCAAGCGCGCAAGCCGCTGCTACCGCTTCGCGCTCAGCGATCGGGGGAGCCTGTTGGGCCCGAGGTCACTCTTACGTGCAGTCGACTTTGCTGCAAAACGACAGCGAAACGAGAACGGCCCTCGACATCGCAAAAACATAGCTTAGGTCGAACCCCGGCCTCCGTCCAGCCCTTGATGGCCTCGTCTGGGGAGACCGTGGTGGTGCCGGCGTCGAACTGCTGCCGGCCCGTCGTCTGGCCCGCGTAGGTCACCTGGCACTTCTGGCTGGGCCCCGGCGACGGGCCCCCGGCGGGCCCACTCTCCTGGAAGAAGGCCAAGCGGCACAATACACAAACTGTTGGGGCTCCGCGCGGATTTCTTGGACTGGCACTGGCACCGCCCCTGCCTGGCGCGCTCCGCGCGCCGGGGAGGGGGGCCCAGCGCCGATCCAAGAAATCAGGGCGGAACTCCGACACGATACGTTTATGTGGCTTTGCTTTCTCCGATTGGAACGGTGCCCCTCGCAGGCTGACCGCCTCCTCGCTTTCTACTTCGATGGAAGCGATGGAGTGGCGCCGGAGGCGCGGCCAGGGGGCCCAGTGCCAATCCGAGAAACCCGCGCGGAGCTCCTGAAGTTTAATGGTGATGATGCGTACTTTTCTCCCGCTGGCCAGGTCCCAGCACTGTCGCCTGCCTCCATCGGATGGGAGGGGTGTGCAAACATTGAAGGGGCCCTGGGACACACAAATAAATACACACAAATAAAACGATGCCCCATATTTTCCTATATTTTCTGGGTTTTTGTCTTCCCCCCCACTTCCCATATTTTCCCATCTTTCTAGGAATTTCGCCGATGAATGGTGTCTGTGTGTGTGTTTTCCCCTCCTGAAAAAGGGCAGGCGGAGGCCCCCCGGAAGCCAGGGAGGAGGTGGAGCGGGAGGCGCGGTCCAGGACAAGTCCGCGGGGAGCTCCGCACGCTTGCGTGTTGCTAGGGCTCCCAACTTCGCGCTTCGCGCTCCGCGAAGCGCGAAGCGCGAATAACTTCGCGCTCTCGCGCCGCCCCCCCAAAGAGAGAAGAGGAGGACGAGGAGGAGGGGGGAGGAGAAACGAGGACCGCGAAGCGCGAAGCGCGAATAACTTCGCGCCCTCGGGGGAGCCCTTGGTGTTGTCAGGGGGACGTAAGACCTGGGTACAGGGGGGAAGCGAGAAGGGGCGGGCCTCCTCAGAAGGCTCGGAAGTCCACCGCCCTTCTGGGAGGCTCCATGCGCCTCCCCCGAAGACGCAGCAGAAACCCCTCAGAAGGCGCGAGGTCTTCTGAGGAGACCTGCCACCTTCTGAGAAGGCCTTCTCCTCCTCACTTCCCCCCCCTGTCAGGGGGACGTAAGACCTGGGTACAGGGGACTCGGAAATCCCCGACGAGGTCGTCAAAAAAATGACGAGGCCGAGCCTGCATTTTGACGAGGCCTCCCGCTGCAGATATCCCACGAGACTCCTCCTCGTCAAAATCCGAGGCGCGGTCGTCAAAAAACGATGGCGAACCCGAGTCCTGGCAAACCCGGGTCTTACGCTCCCCCGATGTTGGTGCAGTCTTTTCTCTTCTGCCATCTCCAGCTGCTTGTACATCAGCCCCGACGGAAGTGCGACGACGCCGGGCTCGATCCTCTTCTCGGCGGCGAGCGCGGGGGGGGAAGTGAGAAGGGGCGGGCCCTTTCAGAAGGCTCGCAAGTCCCCCCCCCAGCCTTCTGGAAAGTTCCCTGAGCCCACCCCGAAGACACCGAAGACCTCTCCGAAGGCGCGAGGGCAGATGAGAAGCCCCGCCACCTTCTGAGAAGGCTTCTCCCCAGACCTCCGACATCGTGATCTGTTCACCGTCGACCCCTGGAAGGTTGGACCCCTTCCCGGGACCGGTTTGTCACCCAGACTCGTGTTTTGACGGTCCGAGGGCCCAGCGAGGGCCCCCAGAGGCTGAACATCCACCCTGTCCTCACTTCTCACTCTCATCTCCCCCCCCCAATGTCTTCTCCTTCGCATTTCCCCCCCTCGCTCGCCGCCGAGTTCAGCTTTCGGGTCATAACTCGGGTCTTCCGCGGCCGTTCGGGACGATCCGGGCATCCCCCGAACGCCCTCGGCGAGGCGCAGCCGCCGGAAGGCATCCCGAGGGCGGCAAACCGCCAAGAAATCACAGAAACGCCCGAGAACCTAGAACCTCGAGGTTCGAATCTCGAAGTTCTAGAGGGAGAACAGGCGCCAGAAGCATAAGCTCTTGGCGCTCCGCGCGGATTTCTTGCACCCGTGCTGGGCGCTCCTCCCTGGCGTGCGGAGCGCGCCAGGGGCGGCGCTGGAGGCGCCGCCGGTGGGGCCCAGCGCGGACCCAGGAAATCCGCGCGGAGCGCCCAAAGTCTACGCTTGTGGCGTTTTTTCTTCTTGGAAGCTCCCCCCCCCCCCGCGCTCGCCGCGCTCCTCCTCAGCACCAACCAGTCGTTCTCGGGCTCGATCTCCGCCGCCACGGCGGCCGCGGAGGGGCCGGGCAGCGCCGCGCCCAGCAGCAGCGCCCCCCGGCGGCCGAGGAGGCCCGGGGGCGCGAGGGCGCGCCGCGGGGGCGAGAGGCGCGGGGCGGGGGCGTGTCGACAGTGGGGGCCCATGCCACGAAGCGCCCCGCTTGCCTCCAGCAGGGGGCCACATGCGAACCCTACACCTACCCGCCACGATTCCTGGAGGGGGAGGGTGGGAATTCACTCCGTTCGGGAGCTCCCGAGCGAAGTGAAGCCCACCCTCCCCCTCAGAAATCGTGGGGGATAGGGGTAGGGTTCGCATGTGGCCCCCCATCCAGGGTGCCCTGGATTTCTTGGGTTTCGATGGTTTTTCTATGGAAGACGTGGCGTTCCCACGCCAACCATCAGTGGACGTCCTGGGGTCTCAGGGTTGGGTTTCTTGTGGGATGTTTCTTGTGGACTGGCGCGAGTCGGGGTCGTGTCTATGCTTAGGTCGGGCATGTCCTCCTGCAGGCGGCTTTTGAAAGAAACATGAAGCATAGTCAAACACATGCTCAAACATAGTCAACACCACAGAAAATGTTTTGACCCCCAGCCTATGTTTCGACTATTCTTGGATACAGTCCTCTTGTGGAGGGACAGGCCCGACTTAAGTCTATAAATCCACCGCCCGTGGCGCCGACACCCAAGAGACCCCCAAACGATGCCCCTATAGAGGCCCCACAGCGGCCCGCCCCACAACGGCCCCAAGAGGCCCCACAACGGCCCCCAAGAGGTGCGAGGCGGGGATGCGTCTGCACACGCCGGTCGGAAGAAGCACGTAGCTAAACACATGCAGCAGGAAGGCGGACCAGCCAGACTGGGCCCCGGCCCTCCCAGAGAGCGACAGGGCACAGAGCAGACGCACCTCGGGTCTTGAGGTAGGAGGTCGCTTGAGGCAGATAGGGATCTGGGAATCCAGGAGCACCTACTTCTTGAGGTAGATTGGGATCTGGGAATCCAGGATTCCCTACTTTCAACGGCCGGCGCGTACTCTTCCACCGCCCGCAGAGCCGACGCCCAAGAGGGCCCCAAAGATGCCCCCGGAGGCCCCACAGCGGCACCTAAGAGGCCCCCCAGATACTGCGGGATGACGATTAATAAAAAAATGGTGGGGAACGATAAACAAATATATTCCTGCTATTTCTGCACAATTTTCTGACTGGAGGAGAACGATTTAAAACATAGTTTTCCAGCCCGCGGCCGGTTTTTTCTAATCGTCATCCAGGGCGCCGCCGCGTGAACACGACCCCCGGTCATTTATTAATCGTCATCCTCCATTACTGCCTCCACGAGAGGCCCCCGAGGGGCCTCTCACGAGATCCCGGCGGAGATCCAGTGGGCTTCACATCCGCAACGCAGGCACGGTGGCGGGATGGGCCGAGCGCTAGGAGGTCCGCCGCCCCCTGTCGACTCATCGAAGGGGTGCCTGGCGTGCTGGACCCTCTCGGTTTTGGTCTTGGCTCTTTTTCCAAAAGAACTCCCCCTGGGGCTTCGGCCCGTCCCGCTTAGGAGCAAGGAAAGGCGACACCAACACCAACAGGGCGAGGAGATGCGCGGAGGCAAGGGGGGTCTCCCTGGTGGTGTGGTCCCCCCCTCTCGCTCGAGACATCCCGAGTCTCCCGCTCGGGGAAGCATTGTGGACCTCCTCGCTGGAGGTGGGCCCCCTGGTGGTGTTGGTGTCGCTTCTCCTCCCTCCGACCGCTGGCCACCGGGAAAGGATCTCAAAACCTGGTTGCAAAGGTTTTCTGCTCCAAAAACGGCCGTTTCGCTCGGGACGTCCTCAAAAAATCCACCGCCCGTGGGGCCCACGCCGTGAGACCCCCGCGGGCGGCGGCCGTGGCTGCCTCGTGGCCCCAGGGGGTCCTGCCGAGGTCTTGCCGAGGCCCTCGAGGATCGATGCCCCGAGGCGGCGTGGAGGAGCAGAAGACGGGCAAAAAACACGATGGCTCGGCGCCGGTTGAAGTCGGGCCGATCCCCCTGCAGGGGGATTTCGACGAGAAATAAAAAAACACAAATACTCCAAAAGGGTTAAAAAAACTAAAAAACAATCATCCCCAGACTATTGTTGGACCATGTTTGGCTTATTTTGGGGGTATCTTTTTTTTTCCGTCGAAAATCCCCCTGTAGGGGGACAGGCCCGACTTAACCCTTCTCCCCGGCGCGCGGAGCGCGCCTCTGGGGCGTCGCCGGCGGCGCCGCCAGGGAGTATAGCAGCCCAGGTCCGCGAAATCCGCGCCGAGCTCCGAGAGCTGATGTCTGGGTGCTGCAGTGGTCTGTTGGTGCAGCTGCCGGTGTGCGTCTCGTCTTTTGTTTTCCGCGCCG